TGGAAGAAGCCCAGAGGTGAGTTCACTGTTACTTTGGTTCTGGCTCTGTCTCTGACTCCTCCTCCTCGTCCTCCTCCTCCTCCTCCTCCTCCCCCTCCTCCTCCCCCTCCTCCTCCTCCTCCTCCTCCCCGCCCTCCTCCTCCTCTTCCTCAACCGCCAGCCGCCGCGTTGTGTTCGCGCCCAACGTGGCTTGCGCATTCACGCGCCTCCCGTTTTCATGTCACTTTTTAAAACGAGGAGGTATACAGCTCCGCTGAAAAGAGGACCCAACCAGACGCAGTTGTGAATGGGGCCGGTGCCGCGTCTTTCAAAACAAGAGTAGCCTGGCGAAGGGCCCAACCATATGCAGTTGTGAATGCTGCATGCTTGCCATGGTATTTCAGAGAAAGACTTGAACGCATCGTCTGAAATGCCACTGTCACTACCACTTCACTGCCAAGCCACTGCCGCTGCCACTACCACTACACTGCTGCTACCACTACCACTTTATTACCACGCCAACCTCGCTGCGACAGGTTTGCCTGGCGATGCCGTCGGCGTTGGTTCTTGACGCCGCGTCGATCAGTCAACCTTGAAAAATCGGCGCCTTTCTTAAGGCCTGATCGTTCGACCAGCCGGCGGCGTTCAACCCTGAACGCCCTCGGAGGGGTCGCCGCCGCACCAACGCTGCGCGAACCTTCCTGGCAGCGGGCCCATGGCCTCGCGGATCGCAGCCGCCGCGCGCATGCGCGGCGTGGAATCGCGTTTCGTGTAGCAAACGGCGTCCATGATCCGCTGCGTGCGGGGGCGCCGATGGTTGCCCCCCCTCCTTCTCCCCCTCCTCCTCCCAGTTCAAGGCGCAAGACCGTTGGACATCGCAACCCCGAAGGTATCTTGGCAGGCCAACCAGCGAAAACAGCGACGGAGGAACCCCAGAGACAAAGACGCAAGGGCACCCTCGAGGGAAACACTCCTATGGCTGCGGCCGAACAACTGGCTGCAGGCGAGTTGCGCTGCAGAGCAAGCCCCGCGGGGGGCATGAACTCGAGCGCGCGCGCCAGAGCAAGCCAAACGTCCTGCCAGGCCGAACAACTCGCCGCAGGCGAGTTCCGCTGCAGAGCAAGCCCCATGGAGGCATGAACACGAGCGCGCGCTCCTCCTCCTACTTCTCCTCCTCCTCTTTCTCCTGCTCTCTCTCCTCGGGGGGTGGCACGGGGGCGGGCGCGCGCCGTGTCCTCGGCATGCCTGCCTTGGCGGAAAGCGACGGGCGCGCGGCGTGCGAATCGTGGACCAAAAGCCCGCGGCGGGCAATGGAAGGTTGCATTGGCCGTCAAAGCGTTCTCGCCGCATTCCGTAGAGGATTGCCCGCAACCGTAGAAGCCCCGCTCCTCGTAGCAGGATTGCCCGCAACCGTAGAAACGCCGCATGCCACGGCCGTGCCCTCGCTTCTGTTAGCACGCGCGTTCGCGTGACATGCGTGACTCGGGATTGCAGGGCCGCGCAACCGATGCGAATGGTACTCGATGGCGGCGGGCGCATGGCCAAGATGCGCTCATCTTCGCGTGCGATGCTGCGAGGCACGCGTTGCATGCGGGGCAAGTCCTCTCTGGCGGATTTCGGAGCCGCGCAGGGCGTTATATGCCGAGCGCCGTAGACGGTCACGGTCGCCGAGCTGTCTCCGAACATGGTTCAGCCACTCTAAGCCGAAGGCTGCGTCATAATGCGCCGGCTCGGGATCCGCGCGGGCGTCGCGGCAGCGCAGGGCACAATAGGCAAGGATTGCGGAGCCGCAGGCGCCGTCAGGCACATGGCCAGCTCGGGATTGCGGGGCCGCGCATGCCGATGCGCGGATATCAGATAACTCTTGCCTGTCGCCGTCTGGGTCATGAGCAGAGCGAGGAAACTTCAAGCGTGCTTGCAAGCGCGCTAGCGCGTGCGTCAAGTCCTATCTGGCGGATTTCGGAGCCGCGCAGCGTGCCGCGTATGATCCGTGATCGTGCGCAAGAAAAAAACGTCTCATAGTCTTTATAGTGCAAGAGCGCTAGTAGGTATAATAGGGCGCGCCCGCGTGGCAGAAGAGGAACAGGAGGATGAGCAGGAGCCATTAACGAATTGCAATGCAACCGTAGCAACACAAACAACATGCCTCTTGTTAAACTCGCTTGTTCCGCTATTTTGTAACATGCGACGCTGCACCAACGGTCGACAAAGCTCCATTGAGGCCAACGCATGCCATAACGTGCGTGCCAATGCCCTGCAATGTCAACTTGTGACACGGCCGTCGCATGTTTGCCAACTTGCCTACATGATTCTAAGCCCCCGCTTCGTGGCTCATGTATCCGGGAGCTCTGAGGAGGTTCCGGGAGCTGGGCCATGCGCAGCTCAAGATCCCCCAGGCGCTCAGGAGGCGGCGTGTTCGCAAACGCGATTGGCTACTCAACGCGCGCCTTCTCTACTGCGAGCTTCGTCTCGCAGCTGGGCGCGCCGCCGTCGAGTTGGGGGCAGCTGGAGAGCGCTGCGCTGCAATCCCTCTGCGTCGGGCCCAACTGGTGAGCGCCCGCGGCCGCCTTGCGCGGCCTCCTCCTCCTGGTCCATCCCGCGCGCCGCCCTGACCTGCCCGCGACGGCCTTGGCGGCCAAGTGCCGGGCGTGCCAGTCGGGGGCGGCGGCGGAGGGCGGCTTGCGCGCAGCCGCCGGGGCAGCGGGTTTGCGCGCGACACGGCTGCGCAGCGCGGCGTCGCTAGCGCGCCCAGGGCGCTGTGGCAAGTGGTTCGACAGATCGTTTCTCTCGCGGCAGGATGCGGCCCAGTCTCCGGATGTGGATGCGGCCCAGAGCTACTTCCAACAGCGCGCGCAGGACCTGCGCCAGGCGGCGCTGGCAGCGGGCACGTCCGACCCAGTGCACCTCCCCCGCGCGCGCGTGATCGAGCCCGACAGGGCCGCCCGCCTGGCACGCTTCCTGCGGCAGTGACTGTCGCGCTGGTCCTGTGGTTTGCGAGTGGAAGACATGACCGGCCGAGCATTGCGCGCGTAACCCGGCGTGGCAAAGCGAGTGCCCCCGCGCGGGCGGTGGCCGCGTGCCTGCGGACGCGCGGCTGGGTCACTGCCTTCAGCAGCGCGCGGGCTGTTATTTCGGGTGCCAGGACGGCGAGGACCCCGTGGGACACTGCGCCGACTGCCCCCGCGTCGCTGCGGCGGCGGCCGACCTGTCGGGGTTGCTCCGGCCAGCTTCGCGGGGGGCGCGGCTCGCCAGGTTCCTGGTCCTGGCGCCGTCCCACAGCGAGCAGACGGCTCTGGAGCTGCGGCGCAGGGCGCTTCTGACGGCCAGCGCGTGCTTGACCCATTGTGGTTGCAGGCGCGTCGCAGGTCGCAGCTCCGCTGTCTGCGTGAGCGTGCTGCAGGTGATTAACCATTCTTTTTTTTGTGCCAGCGCGCCTCTGCATCTTATTCTGTTGTCCGCCGCCTCGGTTCCTCCTCTCCCGCCTTCCTCCTCTGTCCTGATTTTTGGAGTCGTGGGGATCACTCGTCCACTGCATCTAGAGAGCTACGTTCCGTCGCATGGTACGTCGGCTCCCAGGCAAGGCTCCTGTGCAGTCTGTGCGGCCGTTGCTCCCTGGGTGGCTCGTTGTCCTCGTCCGTCGCGTCGTCCTGTCGGTGCCTCTTCCGGTGTTTTCGTCCCTGGGCTGTCGCCAGGTGCGTCGTCCTCGCCCCCCTCCTGCTGGCGCGGTTCCCCCCTTGTCTCCCTCCTCCCCCAGTCTGGGTTCGCCCCAGTCCGTGGGGGTCGCCCCTCCTCTGCTGTCGTGCTGCTGCTGCTGCGTCGTCCACCCGGGGTGCTACTGCGGCTCCGCTGAGGGAGCGGCCTCTCGAGCCAGCCGTACGCGTTGAGCAACCGCCCGATTTTCCGCCCCTCCACGCCCGCCCGGCACGCCGCCCAAGCGAGACGCCCAAAGAGGGTGACCCCTCTCGTCCTCCTCCTTCCTCCTCCATCGTCCGTGGATTCGTGGTGCCGACTCGATCGTTGCGCCCAGGGGTCGGCGGTGCCTTGGCGAGGGCGGCGAGACGCCCGCGCGACACGCCGCCCAACCGAGCCGCCCAGCGAGGGTGACCCCGCTCCTCGTCCTCGTCCTGCTCCTCCTCCTCCGCCTCCTCCTCCACCTCCCTCGTCCGAGGATTCGTGGTGCCGATTTGTTGCGCTCAGGGGTCGGCGGCGCCAGGACGAGAGCGGCGAGACGCCTGCCCGGCACGCCGCCCAACAGAGACGCCCTACGTGGATGATCTTCCTCCTCCTCCTCCTCCTCCTCCTCCTCCTCCTCCTCCTCCTCCTCCTCCTCCTCCTCCTCCTCCTCCTCCTCCTCCTCCGTCCCCCTCCCTTCGAATCGTGATGCCGATTTGCTGTTCTGCGCCGGCAGGCCTGTCCGCGGCTGGGGAGGTCCAGAACGCTCTAGTAGCGCATGCAGTCGCCCACCGCCTCCTTTCCCTCCTCCGCGTCCCTCTCGCATCCTCCTCCTCTCCCGGGGTCGTGGCACGGAGTGCGCCGGGTGGCCGCTCCAGTGCGAAGAATTGGCGTTCGGGCCGGCTGCACGCGGGGGTAGGCCACAGACGGGTGGGCGCATTTCGCCATTCGATCCAGCTCAGGCTTGCCCCTCGATGCAAGAGGCCCTCGTGATCCTCCTCCCTCAGGGGCATGCCGGGGGGGGGGATGCATCGACCCCCCAAATCGCCCATGGATCGCGGACGGGGGCCCCAGATAACCCACCCCGCCCTGGAGCGAGCGGTGGCGCAGGAGGGGGCGAGGCAGAGCGGAGCGAGCACACCGGCGCCACTCTCGGGGCGCGGAGCGCGGAGCCTCAGGCAGTGACGAGGCGCTCCGGCATCTCTACAGGCCTAGCCCCAAAGCATGTGTTATAGGACTACGAACTACAAGGTGCGCTTAGGCGCTCCGCAGCCTGTGCCAGTGCCCTCCTACATCGTGGCCCCTCGCCCCCCTTTGCCCGGGCACCGGGACACCGCGCGCCAGCCGAGGAGAAGGCGAAGGCGGAGATCGAGGCCTCCTCGGCCTTCCTTCCGGCTCGGGGGCGCCGTGGCGTGGCTGGCGTCGGCATCGGCATCGTCGCAGTCGTCGCGGAAGGGATGAGGAAGGAGGGGATCAGGGGCGACGAGGGGGGGGTGAAGCAATCGCCCATTGATTTCCGACGGGGGCCCGATAACCCCAACCTCCCCAGGACGTGCGGATTCACTGTCGGGGGCCTATTGCCGATCTATCGGCGATGTATCGCTGATTCCACGTCGATGTTTCCCCCCCTTCTACCAGTCCCCCCCCGATCGTTGCCCCTCAGGGGAGGAGATGAGTGGAGAGGAGGAACTTTGTTGGTCCCGCGGGGGGATCTTGAGGCCACGGCTGGACGCTGCTCGAAGAGCTGGTCTGGATGGTGCCCCAGGTGTTCCCGGGATCAAGAACGATACGGGTAGTGTCAATAATCTATATCACGCAATGCGGGAACATTCCTTGAGGGAGGAGTCCCGTGGTGAAGCGCGTGGTCCTGTGGGGAACCGTGGAGAAGCGCGTGGGCCTTTGGGGAGGCGTGGAGGGAGAGCGTAGACCCGGGGGAACCGTGGACGGGGCGCGTGGAAACGTGGGGACGCGCGGGGAAGCGCGTTGAAACCTGGGGGACCGTGGGGGGGGACCTGTGCCGCTGTGTGCCTCGGGTTGGCAGCCCGATCGTCTCCACAGCTCGACCGGGCTGTGGGAGAGACTCTTGCCCTGTGGTTGGCCAGCCACAGTAGGTGCGGGCCCGCCGTACCACCCTTGAGAGGCCCGATGGGGTTACTCGAAGGGGTCCCTCGACGTGTGGGGCGCGGGAACTTAAGTCCTTGGGCAGCGGGGCCTCCGCTGCTTGAGGCCTGCGCCCAAGTGGGGGTGGTGCCGGTGGCCGTGTTTCGGGGTGGCTTCTCTAGGCACCTCGCAACGGCGGCGCGGATAACGCCGGGGGCGGTCCGTGCCGCCGTTCGTGTTGCGAGGTCCGACTGCATGTGAATTTACGCAGGCACCTTGGGCACCTCCCTTCGGGTTGTGTCGCCCAGGTGTTCTGTCCGGGCACAAAAAAACGTGTGGGGGGGGGGGCGCGTGGAACCGTGCGGAATTGCGGGGGACCGTTGGCGGGCGCACGGAACTGTGGGGGAGCGCGTGGATCCGCGGGGGATCGTGTCGTGGACCGTTGGGGTACCGTGGAGGAGCGCGTGCACTCGTCGGGAACCGTGGGGAAGCGCGTGGGCCCGTGGGGAGCCGGGTGGAAGTGCGCGGGGGGGGCGCGGGGACCCGTGGGGAACCGTGGGGAAGCGCGCGGAACGCAGAGTACGGGTCGTACCGATTTTGGTTCGTACGGCAGCTTGAATCAGATTGCAACCTGTTCGAGATTGAACATCATATTGCGCGCCAGGTTCAGGTGCCCGCCATATTGTAGCCATATTGCATGTTGTAACTGAATGCCAGGTTGGACACTTCACCAGATTGGTCAGGTTCGTTTTAGGGCCAGATTGTGCTGTTCGCCAGATTCGGTGTTTCCCCCGCGCGGGGTGCGCCATAATCCTTAAGCCCCCGCCAGATCGGGCAACTTGCTGGCCTGCTTCTAAATTGTAGACGCTTCGCGTAACCTCGCCAGCCTCCGTAGCCCTCTGGCTCAAGCCGTCTGCGCGTGAAACCACGTGGGTTCCTAACGCCCCAGAGCGGGACAAGCGTGACACCGCATCGGTTCCTAACGCCCCAGAGCGGGACAAACGTGAAAACATGTGGGTTCCCAACGCACCCGAGCACGACAAGCGTGAAAACACATGGGTTACGCCCCAAGGCGGGACGAGCGTGACACACGTGGGTTCCTAACGCCCCAACCAGCGTGAAACCACGTGGGTTCTTGACGCCATGGAGCGGGCACACGTGAAAGCACACGGTTCCGAACGCCCCTAAACGGGACAAGCGTGAAAACACGCGGGTTTCTAGAGCCCCAGAGCGGGACACATATGACAACGTGTGGGTTTCCCTCCTCCCCCCCCCTGAGCGGGACATGCGTCAAAACACGTGGTTCCTAACGCCCCAAGGCGGGACAGCCGTGAAGCCACATGGTTCCTAACGCCAGAGCGGGACCAGCGTGAAACCACATATTGACGCCATAGAGCGGGGCAAGCGTGCAAACACGTGGGTTCCTAACGCCCCAGAGCGGAACAAGCGTGAACATAGGTGGGTTCCTAACGCCCCCGAGCGGGACAAGCGTGAACCCACGTGGGTTCCTAACGCTCCCCAGCGGGACAAGCGTGAAACCACGTGGGTTCCTAACGCTCCAGAGCGGGGCAAACAACAAACGATTTGGGTTTCTAACGCTGCAGACTGGGACAAGCGTGAAACCACATGGGTTTCCAACGCCCCAGAGCGGGGCAAGCGTGAAACTATTTGGGTTCCTCACGCCCCAGAGAGGGACAAACGTGAAAACTCTTGGGTTCCTACCGCCCCTGGGCGGGACAAGCGTGACGACGCATGGGTTTCAACGCCCCGAGGCGGGACAAAGTTGAAAACACGTGGGTTCCAAACGCCCCAGAGCGGGACAGGCGCGAACCTTTGTTGTTAGTGGTTCTTGGAGGCCCCAGGAGGCGTCCCAGCAACCCTTCGGCCCCAGGAGACCCCCAATCATGACGGTTCCAGTTATTACAAATTTGGTGCTGGTTCATTGATTTGTTCTTGCCAGTGTGCCCTCTCCCGCCTCTGTTGGCCCAGTCTACCGCGTTTTAACACTACGTACGTAGCACCCCGCAGATGTGGATAAGAGTGATGGGGGCGGTGGGGACGTCGGCAGTTTGCGAGACTCTGGAGAAGCCCGCCGCAGGCGCCAACGTTTCACAATTTGTTCCCGGCGGAGCCGGGTGAAATTCCGTGCCCGCCGGGGACTGACTGACTGACTGATTGACTGACTGAACGTCAGGAGGGCACCTTGAACGAGTTTGTTTTTTATTGCTCGGACCCGTAACGCCCGTTACGGGGGGGGGTTCCCCCCCCCCCCCCCGTAACGGTAACGAGCGTACGGGGACGGGGGTGCGGACCCCCCCTCCGTCCAGGCAGGCATGCTGTGACGTTCACATGTGTGCTCAGGTTCGAGGTTCGAGGTTCGAGGTTCGAACCTCGGCGCAAACTCAAAATGGGTCCACGGGGCCCGACTGGGCCTCAGACGCACCAGCTTCCCGAGCCGCGTCCAGCCGCGGCGACGACGAAGGCCCTCGAGGGCCAGGATGCCTCGATCCTCGAGGTTCGAGGTTCGCATCCCTCGGCGCGAACCTTTCAACGGGTTCCAGCCTGGCCCCTCCACCTCCTTTGCCTTGCCTCCGCACTCCCTCCAGTGCTCGTGCCCTCCACCTCCTCTCACCTCCTGGGGGGAGGGGGGAGCGAGGCAGAGGGAGGAGAAGGAGGAGGATGAGGAGGACGAGGAGGACAGCGTGGGCAGGGCCAACGGGCTCGCCGCCAAATCTTGCGGGCAGTGCCAACGGGCACTGCGCTTTAGCACTTGATCGGCGGCGTGGCGCGCCACAGGTGCCACAGAATGGTCGTCGTCATCCCTGCCGCGTCCGTTGTCATTATCCTGCGGGCTGCGCCCGGAGTCCCGACGCCCTCCTGCCAGCACGACGTTTCCCCGAACAGTGCGCGCACCAGGGGTTCCGTTGAAACGCAGCGCCACAAAGTGGCCCCGCCTTTGGCGCAACCTGTGGCGCAACCGTCGACGCAACCTATGGCACGCCCTGAGGGCGCAACCTAAGGCGCAACGTAAGGCGCGATTTGTGGGGCGCCCTGGGTGCGCAACCTATGGCGCAAGCTATGGCACGCCCTGGGGGCGCATCCTATGGCGCAGCTTACGGCTCAACCTATGGCGCAGGTAATTGTACGCAAGCACAACGTGTGGTGTAACGCATCGGGCAAGCCATGGCGCAACCAGCCGGTGCACTCTCACAATATCATAATGACTACTACCACTGTCCTCCCTCCATTCTCCCTGTGCTGGTGCAAGGGGCTGGATTGGGCGAGACCTGCGCGCGGATGTGGCAGCATGTCCTTCCAGCGCTCGGCCCTCCTACCTCGCGCGGCTGGTCACGCCAGCCCCCCGCATGTGCATCCAACAAGTGGGCCCCAAGCGCTGCTGAAGCTTTCGGCAACTGGCTGCGGACACGGCGGCGGCGGCGGCGACGGCGACGGCGGCATCGGCGGCGACGACGACGGCGGTGACGGCGGCGGCGGTCACCTTCACCGCCGCCGCCGCTTGCCGCTGTCGGCGTCCTCGCCGTCGCCGTCGCCGCCGCCGTCGTCGTCGTCGTCGTCGTCGTGGTCGCCGTCGCCGCCGCCCGTGTCGCCGCCGCCGCCGCCGTCGCCCCCCCGGTCGCCGTCGCAACTGACGGCGACGACGACGACGCACCCGCGTGCGCGCTCCAGCCGTCGACCCATGTCTCAAGGGCCTTGCGCTTGTGCAGGGAGCTCCAGCTTCCTGTATTCCCTAGTCTGCCGCCGCCCCGCGCGCCCCCACGGCGCGTGGTTCACACTCCGCACAAAAAAACGTACACAAGCTTTGTGGTGCACACATGCTATGTGGTATACACAGGCGCCATGGTTCACACTCCCATGATGTACACAGTCGCAATGGAGTACACAGGCGCTGTGGGCTCAACAGGTCCGAGCTTTTTTTGAACCAGAAAAACTAAAATCCACAAGCAGCTCACAGAATGAAAGGGCCACGGTTGGGCCCCGAGTGATCTTCTGGACTTTCGCTCCGCCGGTACCTTACAGGTGTACACAAACTTTGTGGTGTCCGCTGGCATTCTGGTGCAAACACGGGGCGCTGAAACAGCAGCTGTGGTGCACGCGGGCGCCGTGGTGTGCACCAACACTGAGATGTACAAGGGCGCTGTGGTGCACCCGCCTGTCATGATGTGCTCAGTCGCCGTGGTGCACACACATACCATTTCTGCCACAGTTGTGGTGTACAAAGGCATCGCGGTGTACAGAGCCTGTGTAGTGTGCACAGGCACGGTCGGCTTCGACGACGACGACAGCGGCGACGACGACGACGACGACGACGAAGCCTACCGTGCCGACAGTTGTGCTGGTAATAAGTACCAGGGCCCGTGCGAGGGCCCCGCCGCGCGTTACCGTTACCCCCAACTTGGGGCCGGACCCCCCCCCCCTTCCTCCCCGTAGCGGGCGCTACCCCCCCCCAGTAAAAAACAAGCTCAACAACACGTTTCAAACCGCCCGCGGGCGCGCAACCGCAACTGGGCGACACATTTCGACCTGTCCGCGGGCGCGCAACAGCAATCGCAACTGGGCGACACATTTCAACCCGCCCGCGGGCGCGCAACCGCAACTGGGCGATACATTTCAACCCGCCCGCGGGCGCGCAAGCGCAACTGGGCGACACATTTCAAACCGCCCGCGGGCGCGCAACAGCAACCGCAACTGGGCGACACATTTCAACCCGCCCGCGGGCGCGCAACCGCAACCGCACCTGGGGGACACATTCCAACTCGCCCGCGGGCGCGCAAGCGCAACTGGGTGACACATTTCAACCCGTTCGCGGGCGCGCAACCGCAACCGCAAGTGGGCGACACATTTCAAACCGCCCGCGGGCGCGCAACCGCAACCGCAACTGGGCGACACATTTCAACCCGCCCGCGGGCGCGCAACCGCAACCGCAACTGGGCGACACATTTCAACCCGCCCGCGGGCGCCCAACTGGAACCGTAATTGGGCGACACATTTCAAACCGCCCGCGGGCGCGCAACCGCAACCGCACCTGGGCGATACGTTTCAACCATCCTGCGGGCGCGCAACCGCAACCGCAATTGGGCGACACTTTTCAACCCGCCCGCGGGCGCGCAACCGCAAGTGGGCGACACATTTCGACCCGCCCGCGGGCGCGCAACCGCAAGTGGGCGACACATTTCAACCCGCCCGCGGGCGCGCAACCGCAACCGCAACTGGGCGACGCATTTCGACCCGCCTGCGGGCGAGCAACCGCAACCGCACCGCTCACCCCTGCCGTCCTCCTCCAGGGGATCTGAGGCGGAGGAAGGGTGGGGGGGAGGGGGGAGGGAGGAGGGGGGCGGGAGGGAGGAGGAAGTAGGGGGGAGGGAGAGGAGACGGAGGGAGGGTAGAGAGCTCACAATGATTGGGGGCGGACAAATCTCCCCCCCCCGTTCCACGCAAGTGGATCTCCACAAGAGTCCAGACCTTGGATTCCTTATCCAAGGCCTCCACGGTCTGCTAGCGGGATGAGTGGGTTAACCGCTCTCGAGGGGGAGACGAGGCTTTGACAGAAGCGGTCCGTTGCACCGCCTAGTTTGAAGTTGGGGGGGGCGATGCCGCGGGGATCGATTGTGCGTTCACCCGCGCGCAAGCCACCCGCGGATGTAGGTGTATCGGCGCCGTCTTATTCATGCAGTCTGCCGCGTTTTATTCAGTCTCATTCATGATTTGGTGCAGGAGCAGGTGGTGGAGGAGGTGGAGGAGGACGAGGAGGAGGTCATGGGGGGACGAGGAGGAGCAGCAGGACAAGGAATCTGATGATGATGAGGAGGAGGAGCAGCAGCAGGACGAGGCGGAGGATGATGACCAGGATGGCTAGCAGGAGAAAGAGGACGATGGGGACGGGGATGCCAGGGTGGTGTTGTTTGAGAAATGCACGAGCATGTGCTTGTTGCGGACAACGGGGGAGGAGGATGTGGTGGACGTCAAGGGGGATATGGGCGTGGAGGTGGATGTTCTCCTCGCGGCCTCCAGGCGTGACCCGCGGCTCTCCGCCGGGACATTGCAGCGGGGAGTCCCCATTCCACGCTGCTGCCTCTGATTCAACGTGCCCGCCGCGGGCGTCGATTTTTTCGTTAAACCAGTGCGGGTAGGTCGCGGGCGGGCCTCGGGTGGGTCGCGTGTGGGTCGCGGGCGGGTCGCAAATTGGTCGCGGGCGGGTCGCTGTTAGGTCGCGGGTGGGTCGCGGGTGTAGAGGGCAAAAAGTCCAACTTGTAACAATCACCCCGATACGCGAAGCCGTTTAGTAAACGCACACAAGGACTGAATCGAACAGGGCGGGGTTGTTGAGTGAACGCCCAGGGCTGTTTAGTAAACGTCATTTGTCGGGTCCGGGTGTTTTTTCCTCCCGTGAGTGTGGGTCGCTGGTGGGCCGCGGGTGGGTCGCGGGGTGGGTCGCATGTGGGTCGCGGATGGGTCGCGGGGTGGGTTGCGGGTGGGTCGCGGGGTGGGTCGCGGGTGGGTCGCGGGGTGGGTCGCGGGTGCGTCGCGGGTGGGTCGCGGGTGGGTCGCGGGTGTGTCGCGGGGTGGGTCGCGGGTGTGTCGCGGTTTGTGTCGCGGGTGGGCCGCGGGGTGGGTCGCGGGGTGGGTCGCGGGGTGGGTCGCGGGTGGATCGCGAGTGGGACGACGACAACAAATAAGAGCAACAACAACAACAACAACGACAACAGCAACAAAACAACATCAACAACAACAACAACAACAACAACAACAACAACAACAACGACACCGACACCGACACCGACACCGACACCGACAACACCAACAACACCAACAACAGCAACCACACCAACAAAAACACCACCAACAACAACAACGCAGCAAACATATTTTTAATCACGAGTTCAATATTCAGCCACGCGCCCAGGGACATTGAATGACCGTTCGGCCGCCTCACTCTGATTCGGGTTTTCGGGTGTCGCCACGATGCTCTAAAAAGGTATTGCGGCTGCTTGCGTGCTCTCGCTCGTACAGGCTTGCGCGGAACGCTTGTCGAGCCGTTACGGAAGCTCTCCAGGTCGTGCAGGTTTGCACGGAGCGCTTGTCGGGCCGCTCCAAGAGCGCTCCCGCATGGGCCTGTCGGGCCACTTCGGGAGCGGTCCCGTTTTTGCTGGCTCGCACGGAGCGCCTGTGGGGCCGCTTCGGGGACCCTCTCGCGCGGGTTGGCTCGCATTCGGCGCCAGGCGAGCCGCTCCGCAAAAGTTTCCGCTCGCGCAGGTTCGCACGGAACGCATGTCGGGCCGCTTAGGAAGCGCTCCCGCTCGCGCAGGCTTGTACGGAACGCTTGCCGGGCCGCTCCAAGAGCGTTCCCGCTCGCGCAGGCTCGTTCGAAACGCCTGTCGTGCCACTTCGGGAGCGCTCCCGTTTTTGTCGGCTCGCACGGAGCGCCTGGCGGACCCCTTCAGGAGCGTTCCCTCTCGGGCGCCCGCGCGGAACGCCTGCCGGGCCGCTCCGGAAACGTTTCCGCTCGTGCAGGTTCGCACGGAGCGAAGCGATTGGAACTTCATAGTTTGGCGGCGCACTCGAATGATTGGGCGGGCAGGGTGTCTGAGGAGGGAGGTCGGTCATCCATACAAGATGCCAGCCCGTACATGTGTATGTGCTGCTGGAAGGGAGGTCCTGTAAACTTGGCCGAGCATTTTCGTGGTGCGCTGCCATGGTGCAGATGGGACGCTCAATCCGCGGCCTGGTGCGGCAAAGCAGTGTGTGGAGATGGATGGTGGAAGTACAATGCCGCCTGAATCCCAAATATTTACCCCTCCTCCGCATCCTCCTCCCTCCTCTCCTGCTGCTCCTCTTACTGGCCTTCGGAGGCGATGACCCCGAAAGAGAGAGGAGAACTGGTGGAGAAGATGCAGAAAAAGATGCAGGCGCCTGGCGCCCTGCTCTTAGTCGCATTTCGGGTCCTGGCGTCTCCCGTCCTCTTCTCTCTCCATCTCCCCTTTCCCTTCTTCCATTCAATTTCATTCCCATTCCATTCCATTCCATTCGTCCTCCTCCTCGACTCTTCCTCTCGTCGCCCTCTGTCTCGACAGATGCAAGGTGTGAGTGCCGCTCCCCCCTGTCCTGCCGTTACCCGGCCCTTCCACATATGGTTTCAACACACGTTGTGCCGAAAGTGCGTTGTGCTCATGTCGTTTGGTGTTTTCATCGGATCGTCGTTTGCCCTTTTCGCATTGGTGTGTTGTTCTGCTGCAGCGCTAACACCATATTTCTTGATCGGTACTTCACCCCGTCGTTCGGAAGACGCTGTCGCCAGAAGAGACGTTTCTGTCACCGATTTATCGTCGTTGTCGTTATCATTTTTCCTTCTCGACCGCACACCTGGTCATCCCGTTGGTCCTCCTCCTCTAATGCATCTTCCCCGTGCGAATTGTGCGGCAAATTATTGGCCAGATCTTGCAACTGCCATTGGGATTCAAAGTGTGGTATGACAGTGGCAAGGGATGGGCCGGAGAGGTAGGGAGTCAGATGTGGTGCGACCGCATTTAGCTTGTCCCCCTATTGTTATTTGCCTCGCTCCCCCACCTCATCTTCCACTTCCTCCTCCTCCTTCTCCTCCCCCTCCCGCGGGCGGCCTTGACCCAACAGCCTCTCGGCTTCCACTCGCTTGCTCGCTTCTCCCCTTCCTCGTCCTTCCGCCTCCACTCCTCGTCCTGTCCTGCATCTAGCTTGTCCCCCCCCCACTCTGCCCTCCTCCCCCCTCCTCCCCCCCCTTCTCCCTCCCCCCCCACCCCAGCCCTCCGCTCCGCCCGCCCGCCCGCCCTCGCTCCCCCCTCCCTGCTTCTGCTGCTCCGTGACGTCGTGCTCATTCTTCTCTTGGGCCTCCTCCTGCGTCCCCGCTCCCCTTCCTCGTCCCTGCTCGTCGTCGTCGTCGTCGTCGTCGTCGTCGTCGTCTTCGCCATCGGTCGGCGGCGGCGGCGGCGCTGGCGACGCAGTCGGCGTCGTCATCTGGTGTGGTAGTGGTTGTCGTCGTCCTCTAGTGCGTGGGATGATCAGGCGGCTCCCAGGGCCCTCTGCTCTCGAAGGCCAGCGGGACGATGGCGAGAACGGCGACGGATGATGACGAAGACCGCTGACGGCGATGATGAGGGTCGACATGCGAGAATGGTCGCGGCCCGCTCGCGCGAGGTCTTCGCCAACCTCCCGCAGGAGGCGAAGATGTCACACATGCAGAAGCTCAGCGAGGAGGCGCCGAGGAGGAGGGGGGAGGGTGGAGGGGAGGGGAGGGGGAGGCTCTTTTCTTGCGCGACGAGTCCCGAGTGGCTGCCCTGGACTTGTAGGGCAGCGGGGAGCTAGCTGCAGGAGGGTGCTCACGGGGAGCTCGGCCGACCGCTCGGGCGAACCAGCAACCGCGTCCGTTAAGCACTTCCGTCTCTTCAGTGCGACGTGAAGAGCACCGGTTACGGCACGGTCGGACCGAGGTAAAAGATCGAGGTCGGTTCGGGGAGGGTACCCTGATATTCTTCGTGTGTGTTGGATGCTAGTGTGCATCCTGTGGAGGGTACTCTTGGATGTTCTGTGTGTTTGGACGGGCGGAGGGTCTCATGTTCTTGGAGGATGCTCTTCTCTGTCCTTGGTCCGATTGTAGTCCGCTCCTTCCCTTTCCCTGTGGGCCTTTGGGGGCCCCGCGCCTCCAGGCGCGGCTCGAGTGACCGGGGATCCGTGCGGAGCGTGTTTGTTCGTCGGGGGGCCTCCCGTCCGGGAGTGGGGAGGCCTTGAGGGCAGGAGGGGCATGAGGAGGAGGAGGTGGAGGGGGGAGGTGGGGCGATGATGACGACAACGACGGCGATGACGGCGACAAGGAGGAGTTGGTGGAGGATGGTGATAGTGATGGTGACGGTGATGATGATGATGGTGGTGACGTGGAGGAGCAACAGGAGGGCGATACGTGATGTGGGAGGGCAAGGCGTGGACATGATGATGCTGATGTGAGTGATGATTCTGCCAATGCTGATGCTGCTGCTGATGATGATGGTAACGATGCTGATGGTGGTGCTGATGATTGTGATGGTGGTGATAAGTGGTGGTGGTGATGGTGGCGATGATGATGATGCTGATGATGCTGATGCTGATGCTGATGGTGATGGTGATACTGATGATGGTGATGATGCTGATGCTGATGTTGATGCTGATGTTGATGCTGATGCTGATTAGGATGACGATTATGATGATTATGGTGTTGATGATGATGCAGATGATGGTGATGGTGCTGTTGCTGGTAATGGTTTGTGATGGTGATTATGATGGTGATGGTAATGATGGTGATGATGATCGTCGTGATGTTGATGCTGATGCTTTGGTGATGATGGTCGTGTTAATGGTGGTGGTGATGGTTGTGATGATGGTGGTGGTGATGGTGGCGTTGATCATAATGGTGATGATGCTGATGAAAGTGACGGGGGAGGGTGGGTGGATAAGGTGGGGGAGGTGGTGGGAGGAGGAGGAGGATGAGGAGGAGGAGCACGAGGACGAGGGCAGCGGAGGGAATGACGATAAGCAGGAGGAGGAGGAACAGGAGACGCCAAGGAGGAGGAGAAGGAGGAGGAGGAGGAGGAGGTGGAGGCGCCACTGCGCTCGCTCGCAACGTCCATCCCTCTCCATCCCTCCTGCTTCTCCCTGTCATCCTTGCCCTTGCCCTACGTCCTCCTTCCTCTGTCGCCTCCTCTTTCCGGCCCCTCTGCCCCTTCCCTGCGCCTCCCCCCCCGCTCCCTTCTTGCCCTCCCCGGACAAGCCCGTGCTCCTCCCTCCCTCGTCTCCTCCTGCCTCATGCCCTTCCCTACCATGTGCGGCTTTTTTTGTGGGGGCCAGGAGGAGCGCGAATGCACGTCTGGACCAAGCCAGGACCGTGCAACTTTCATCCCCGCGCGGCCAGGGCCTTTCCAGTCGCTCTAGACCCCAGGCCTAAGCGAAGCAGCAGCGGTATATAGAGATCACGTGTTTCTATCGCCTGTCATTTTCTCTCAGTCTCTCTCTCTCTCTCTCTCTCTCCATATATATATATATATATATATATATATATATATTCCTCTCTCTCTCTCTCTTGTTTCGTTCACCACCCTCCCTCTCTCCCCCATCTAGATCTTTCCTCCCCCAACTCCCCCATCTACCTCCTCCTGCTTCCACGCGCCCTGTCGTGAGCGATGCGACCACCTGGCAAGTCACTCTTGGGTTGCTCGCAGTTGTGTGTTTTCGTGAGTGCGTGTGTAGTTGTCGTCCGTCCTCCCGTTCAAGGTCTCAAACTACTTCCAGCCACCGGCCACCTCTCCCCAGGAGAAGCTGGAGTTTGTGAAGACCCAGATCCTGATGATGAGCATTATGCGGCAGCAGTGGCAGGCCCTGTCAACACGGGGCCTGCGCTTGGTCTTCTTGTGCGGAGCAGCAACGCGGGCGCGCGAAGCACATCATTTTTGTTCTCGGTCTGGGCGAGACAGGGGGAGACAGGGAGGTCGAGAGAGAGAGGAATATTGAAAGAACAGCACGAAAAGGGCGAGAGCGAGAGCGAGAGCGAGAGAGAGAAAGAGATCCATCGAGAGCGCTGTCTTTCTCCAGGGGTGCGCGGGCGCCCGGGAGCGCACGTGCGGCGCGCGCGTACAGAGACAAACACGCGCGGATCGCGCTCCGCACTGGGTGTTTGACTTCCCCCCCCCACGCCACTCCGTCCGACGGCCCGCTCCGGCCCTCCCGCGGGCTGCTTAAGTGAAGTCGGGCATGTCCCTCTACAGGAGGAATGTTCACAACTAGGCCAAAAATAGTATGGGGACGACTTTTGACCATTTCTGCTTATCAATCGCTTCGCTCATTCCGCCGGCCCTGGAGCCCTCTTTAGGGCACTTTAAGGGTAGCTCTTTGGGAGATGTTACAGTATCGGGAGCATAGCTCGCGCGCCGCTGCCTTGGGCTCAAGGCACGCGCGCCCTATTTGCCCGGACACCGCGAGTGTTCGCTATGTGCTGGAAAGATCATTACATCGATCTTATCCTATCTTATCCGCCCACCCCTCATACTGTACCTTCACAGCTACAGCAGAGCGATGGACGCTATTTGCCATCCGATGTCCACGGTCAGCGCCTTGGAATCGGATGCTATATGACAGGCTATATGCCCTATTTGAGTTACCAAGCTCACTTTCGACTTGGTAGCGGAGCTGGCCGCACTCTCGTGTGGTCAGCTCTTGCTCTTCTCAGCCTCACATTCTTCGGCACGATCTTCGTGACCACCTACTACCCTGCGCCACCACTCCCAGTACATTTACGAGGATCTATTCAAGAGCAAGAAGCTACACGAGAGGTACGACGTCTAGACGACCAGATTGGTACCATATACGCTTCATCATTGCGTTACTATCAACCGCTCGGCAACGAGCCAATAACGCAATACCTGAAGCAAGGGCGGGGAAACCCGCCAGACAGAGCGCCTCGAAGACTCGACAAGGCGCTACCCCAGCGTGACACCGCTCATCATAACCATTCTTCGTTACACATTCTTGGGCTAATCGTTTTCGCTATCATATGGTTCGCGCTGGGGGCAGCAATCGCACACATGCGTCGGGGAGATAACAGCACCGATGGGCAAACACATGGCCCATACTGGGACCCTCAGGGTAATGTACCTTTTCGTGAGTACATTTACGAGGTCAACGCGTGGCTCAACGTTACAAGCGGACGTATGACGCCACAGGCCCAAGCGGCCGCAATACAACGCGGCCTGGGAGGCCTAGCGAGGACACTCGCCATGAGGGTACCGCCTGACATTATAAACTATGGTGCTGACATTGATGGGGTCCACACGGACCCAGTAACTTACATCATGTTCCTCCTCAGCATGAAGTTCGAACGCCTGGAAGATGAGCGACAGCTCACTTCCGGCACACAACTCATCGACTTCCATGTGCCTCACGGGGAACGAATCGATGTCACTCTTACCCGATTCGAAATGGCCCGACTTGAGGCACAGTCGGTGGGATTCGACCTTCCTAACTTCCAACTGCTAACTACTATCCTATTCCGCGCCTTAGGCGTCGGCAACCAGAAAGCCATGCAACTCTTGCAGCCACTCAACCACCAAATGCCTCGAACACAACAACAATATGATGAGCTGCTGGAAAGGATGCGTTCGGTAGGTCACCTATCCGAACGATCCCCTGGCAACATAGGATCCGTGTTTGGAAGAGGAAGGGGATCTGGTAGTGGAAATTTCTACACTACCTTGACTACTGAAGTCCAGCCTGGAAACGGGCCCTCAAACATATGGGCCGATGACCCAGGAGAATCCACTGCTTTATTAGCAGGGGATCGATCACAACCAAGCTGGGCAACCAGCCCTCCCTCTAGAGAACCACAACCACACCGCTCGTTATGGGGGGAATCAAATCCCCTAACCGACGGTGTATCCACCTGTTTAGGAGACGAAGATTTCGACTCCGGCACCGACACAGACACTATATCATCAGATGGTGTTGAAGCTCTAGATTGGTCAGATATCATGAATATGGATAACGACAATCAGCGTGCTGAGTATTTATTCTGGCTGTTACAACAGGCTAAGCGAAGGTGGAGGAGGTTCACACGAAAACCAGTGCGTCGTATTAGAAGGAGGATACGCAGAAGTTTTAAAGGAAAGGGTAAAGGCAAGCGTGGTCGTCGGAGGTTGAACGGGCGAGGTATCGCGGCATTTCTCCAGAGGCTCTCAGATGAACAACATGATGAGATATTCTTTGGGGGAAAAGGCCGCGGTAAAGGCCGTAGAGAGACCTCAGGAAAAGGCAAAGGTAGGCGGGGAAACCCGCGAGGTAGAGACGGCCAGGTTCTCAAATGTCATGAGTGTGGTAGTACCGATCATCTTGTGCGAGATTGTCCAGCGAAGGGAAATGGAAAGGGCATGTCGTCCGAAGTCCATTTCGGCTCAAGCACACCATCCATTGAGTATCTGAGCCTCCAGGACTTTGAGGCTATGGAACAGATATTTTTCACATGGGTCGTTGGCATGGACAACATTGACGAGCTCGAGGGGTATGGTCATGGATTATACGCGTATTACCTCGAGTACGTCCGCCGGTTCGTCACGGGCAGTAATGAACTCACTCCCGTGGAACACGGTGCGCTCGGAAACGATCCTCTTTCCTTCTTCGACTGGATGTTCGGGAACCCAGGCAACATCATGGCCTACGAGAGCGACGGCGAGGACACCACTATAGAGGCTTCGCCTTCCGAGGTTCAACAGAACCTCGAACCTCCGCCCGAAATCCCGCCTGGACACAGGCGTTTTCTGCTGGGAGAATATCCCCATACTATTGAAGACTTAATTGAAATGGAGTCTCAAGCATTTGTCCAGGCCTTCATTGCAGGTGAACCAGGTTCTCCGTTCATACCTCCTGGTTCGCTTGCTCCAGGCGAATATGGACCGCGTACACTTTTGCAGACCCTCATGTGGATGCATGAGATACTTGCAATTGCATATCCTGAGAGTCAAGAACAAATTGAAGCTGGTATTATGACAGATAATGATAATGATGCTTGCGGTAGCTCAGAGCTACTCTTGGCAGCTTTGTCTCTCATTGACAGTATAAATCCTCAGGAAGTGCAACGACACTTAGTATGCTCCCATGGTAGATGGCGTCGTGCCCTGGAAATGGCAATGGCCATGCGTGGTCATGATCTTCCCCCGCCAGGATGGAATCTCCAGGAGCTGGGGATGAGGCCAAACCATACGGCCATGCGTAACATTGCTAGGCAGCCTATGCTCGTCGATGACCCTGAGCCGACGACTGCGCCTCCTACTCCAGGACAGCCGAGTGACGGCCAGACGCCGGCCATGCAGGGAAACCTGCCTTTACCAGATGCGCCAATGGCCATCATAATTGGTAGTTCGACATCAGAAGAAGTAGATGGCGATGGTTGTGGGTTAGATGAGGATGACGTCACCATCCTCATGATGGACGTGACTGGTGAGGAAGAGGTCGATTTCGACCCTGATGGGTCTGAACCATCATCACCATCGGCACAAGAGCCGCTTGCGCCGAGCTCCACCCAGCAGGGAGACCTGCCTCCATCGAGCGATCCACCCGGGGTCGCAGAGGAGCCTCCTCAAGCACCTCCAACGGGTGCCGCTCCTGCTGCATCAGCAGCCTCTTCTGATGAGAACACCAGAAGATCTCGTTCCCATACGCGCGTCAGAGGAGAGCCACATCCTCAGGCTCGACTCCCTCGTGATTGGAGACAGGCTGGCCCAAAGGAACACGCTGCCAGAAGAGGTGGCCAGCTACTTCCATACAACGACCCACGACGCCGAAAAGGGGAACACTCGGCCTTCGGCCAGGGCAATCCTGCCTATAGGGACGGCGATGGCAGACCCATCCGTGGAGGCTATCAGCTTGCAACAAACATCCGCCGCCCTGAAATTCAAGAAGCGCGGGCCCAGTTGCGAGATATTATCGCGGCTCGCAAGCAGTATAGGCCTCACGCTGCATGTGGTCCCTGTTCCCAGCCGTTCCAGAATCACAGGCCGGGACGCCCCGTTGGAAACAACGAAGGCCTGAGCCCCAACAGGGGCAAAACCCCTCCTAAGGAGGGCCATCCGCCACTTGACCCGATGACACCGGAAGAGATCGCAGCAGTGAATAGTCGTCTCGGGATCTTGGGCCACTTGGATCCGAAAGAAGAAGAGAAACCTACTCCGGCTCCAAGGGGAATGGTAGCCATGACCCAGGAAGAGAAAGACGCGCTCTTTAGTCTTCCTGGCATGCGAGGAAACTCGCCTGGCGTATCTAGCCAGTCCCAACAACCAGAGCCGATCATCAAGGACGAGACAAGGGCTCCACGTGTGGTGGAAGATGAGGAGCGTATTCAGACAGTAGATGAACGCGCACGCGAGGCAACTCGCAAGATGCTGGAGGATTCCAGCAAGCTCTACATGAAGGGGGCTAGAAAGCCCCCACTCCCACTAACTTCGAAGGCCAAGAGTGAACCCCCGACACCTAAGCCGCCTCCGGCGCCGAAACGCACAGCTCCTATACCAGCATCTGTGCCCAAGCAGCAACCCCAGGACCCCACTGAGGAACGAAGACGTTCGCTTAGCCGCAGCAAGTCCATTGCGGAACGGGCGGCAGCTTTCGAGCGCAGTGAGTATGCACCTGCGCCAGCTTCGCCTGTGGCGGCTCGTTCCAGGAGGTCCGATGAAGGTGCTATGTCGAGGGGTAACTGGGTGCCGAAGATCAGGGGCAGCGCCAGTCGCGCATCTCCGCGGGGAAACCCGCCAGGCGCTGCTGCCGCAGCTTCCTCCTCTTCAGGAGCCGCAGCCTCTTCAGCAACAGAGGCTCCGATGCGGGGAAACCCGCCA